CTCATCACTGCTTGCAAGACAGGCGTTTACAAGAGCAGCAGCACACGCCTTGCTGCTCTGGTGTGCATCCAGCATGCCGATGCTCGCATTTTCTCCTTCTCTCCTCTCCGCCTCGCCAGCAGATGCTGCTGCTGCCTCCTCTTTCTCAAACTCGGCGCAATACTGCGCCAAGCAATCCCCTACGTGCCGGTAGCAACTTGAAACTCTGCATGCATGCACGCATGTGCACACAGCGTACAAAACGACAATCACATCCGTGTATGCATGCATGTATGCATGTATGTAAACACATGCATGCATGCATGTATGTATGTAAACACACCAGCGCAACGCTGCCTGCAGTTCTTTGCTGCCAGAGAAGACGAAGTACACTGATCCAGGCGAACATCTCTTTCAGTGCTTTTTTTCGGCGCTAGCGATGGGCTCAACCAGACAACCACCACTCCAACAGCAGCAACAAAACAACAGTAGCGACCACAACAATAACGGGGGGAAAAGGCACAAGAAGAACAGCAGCAGAGAAAAGAACAATAAAAACCAGAGCACGAACGAGAACAAGAACAACAACAGCAACAAAAACACAACCGCAACAGCAGCAACAACAGCAACAGCAATATGCGAAAATAGCTTTACGATACGCACAGGACGTTTTGCATGCCTGCCCCTGCAAGCTGCATAGCTGCATCGGAGGTCAAGGAGGGCCACTTGGGTCTTCTCCCCAATGCCTGGCGGCTGAAGTTAGCTATTAAACTGGCGGCCTTCGCAGTCACCACGTCCACCAGCAATCTGCATTCAGGTGTACAGACACCCCAAACAGAAAGAAATAAATCATCCAGCATTAGCGCTCGTAAAAGGAGAGACAACGGAAGCCACAACCCGCGGCGGATAGACGCATCCAATCCACCTAGTTGCAACGAGCTGCACCCACCCCCGCCCATCCCCCCCCCCAGCTGCCGCTGCAGCTAGCTACAGCTAGCTGCAGTTAGCTGGGAGCATGTATGAACTGTTCATAGGGAAAGCCTGTGCTGAGGTTTTGCTGTACCCATAGAATCTGAGGGAGTTGAGGAGAGCGACGAGGCCGTCTAGGGGAAGGAAGAGAAGCCTAGGGATGAGATGATGATAAACAAACTGCTGCACTTGAGCTAAACCCGCAGCCGTCTGAATGTCTGCTTCGTTTGCCTTTCGCTGCAGCTGTAAATACAACATCTGAGCCTCCAGTTCATCCTTCCTGCAATGCAGAAACCGCCCGTCGGTATCAGTGTTTATGTATTTATCCACTATTTATTTACTATTTAGAACACAAATTCATATAATATATATATTATATAATACACAGATAGTATATATATATATATATAT